CAGAGCATTATGTGTCCCCGTGTGACTCCAATGCATATTGTGTCCCCTTTCCGCGCCCCCCGTAACCTCTGCGTCTCTAGAGCTTCCTGTGTCCCCCGTGACTCCATAGAATCCTATGTCACCATGTGACTCCAGAGCATACAGTGCCCTCCCGTAACCCCTGTGACTCCTAAGCATCCTGTGTCAACCTGTGATTCCAGTGTGATTTCCTGACTCCTGGGCATTCTGTGTCACCCTGTGACTCCTGAGCTTCCTGTGACCCCTGCGACTGCAGTACATTCTGTGTCACCCCATGATCCCTGTAACTCCAGAGCATCCTCAGCTTCCTGTGCATCCCCCTGCGACTCCAGTGCACCCCGGGTGCCTTCACACAGCCTCAGGTATGCTCCTGTATCTCCTGATCTGTCCCCCTCCCTGTGGATATGGACCCCGGTCTGTGACCATAAATGGACACAATATAAATGGTCACTGATATCTGTAAGTCTGTAGATTGATGAATCGGGGAGTATTTGATCCCCTCCGGGGTTCAGGAAGGAATGCTTTGTTAGGGTTCTGCTATAACCTAAAATAATGACTTTGGGGTGGACTTTGCCTTTCGCAATGTTGGATGTCCCAGACCCCCCATTTACCTCGTTAAATTCCGGGTTCAGAGTTTTCTTCTTCACGGTTGTTTTGTGTTTGGACTTTTTCTCCACATCCGGCTTCAGGTATCTGCAGGAGGAAGACAGGACGGGTAAGACTCGGGGAGCCATAGTGGTGTCTGTAAATGTTCAATGCAAGACTGGCGGGCGGTCCCTGCTCCTGCATGGAATGTGATGACCTTAAGAGGGGCGGCGATGTGAACCGGTGCTAGACTATATTGCACTCTAGGAAAGACCAGCTTCTTGCAACCCGCAAGACCCCGCCCCCCCGCACGGCCCGATTGTCCTGCTGGCTAGCTTCTGCAGGTGACGGGTGGATTTAAGCAGCCGGGAGCAATATTCAGACTGCTATTTTAATTTAAAGGAGAACTATGAGGGGGGGTGCTTTTCACTCACCTCATAGTTCTAGCCGACCTGTGACAATGAGACTGTCACAGGTCGGCTCAGTAGATCGGGAGGTGAGCGAACACATACCAGCGTTCGCTCACTTCTCGATCCTGTCACGGCTCTCTGCCGTGACAGGGGAGGGGATGGATTCCCCCCGCTCCGATCCGCCAGCGCTGACTGGAGGAACGGACTGGGAGGGGGCAGGTACAGCTGGCTCTGCCTCCTAGATAGGCGGAGCCAGCTGTCACTCACGCAGCTGGGCGGATCCAGACATAATTGTCGGGATCCGCTTCAGCGTCTCAGTATATACGGGAGGACGCTATTTTGTGTCCTCCCGTTACCCTAAGGAGAACTATGGGGAAAAGCCCTAACCCCATAGTTCTCCTTTAAAATAGCCAATAGCAGACTGGTTATTGAAACCCCTCCCACTGAGCAGAGGACCGGACCCGAGAGAGAGAGTGACGCTCCTCTGCTCAGTGGGCGGGTGCAATAGCCAGCCTGCTTTTGGCTTTTGCAATTTGAAGTAGACAGGAGGGGCGCCATTGGGAACGGGGTGAGTGGTCGAGGCTGCGCCTCAGGCGGCTGTACCTCAGGCGGCTGCCTAGTTTGCCTAGTGGCAGCACCGGCCCTGCTTGTAACTGATACAATAAAAGATACATTTTATATTACCGAGGATCTGAATGATACAAAATAAATGCTTGTGGCCCCTGAGCCGCCAAACGGACAACCCCGACCTATAGATTCTTCATGACATATTTCACATTCTGCGCACGGCTCCCCTCTCCCCCGTCTCCTGCACATCTGCCTCCTCTGCGCCCCTCGGGGGAGCCGACCTGCAGCTAAAAATACATCACCTTCCTCCCCCGGGGGGACACACATGACACCTGCGCACCGAGCGCTCATAGAAAGATCCGCCAGACTGAGAGAAAACTTTGGGACAGTTTACAGCCGGCGGAGGAGAAATACGATTCACAGCTCTGCGTTGTTGCTTGGTGCGTTCTCTATTCAAACCAACAATCGCATTTAACGCATGCATCAATGCATGCATCGTGCTGCAAGTCATGACGCACGCCAACGTGTTATGATCCATGTCATTGAATACAAATGCATTAATACCAATGGAAAATGCATCAAGCTGGGAACACACCCAAAAATGCGCATTGGGGTGCTGCGGTGCCCTTCATTTTTAATGGCACCCTAAGCCTAATGTGACGCACCCAACGCACATGCATGTTAATGCACTTCACTTCCGTGGCGTTTTTGTGCGGCAGGGAGCTCATTCACTGCTCTAACACTACGCTTGCTATCTTAATAACCCCTGTGCTCCTCCATATCACCAAGTGTACCCCTGTGCTCCTCCATATCTCCAAGTGTACCCCTGTGCTCCTCCATATCTCCAAGTGTACCCCTGTGCTCCTCCATATCTCCAAGTGTACCCCTGTGCTCCTCCATATCTCCAAGTGTACCCCTGTGCTCCTCCATATCTCCAAGTGTACCCCTGTGCTCCTCC